TTTGTTTATTGCTTGTTGTTTGTTTATTGCTTGTTGTTTGTTTATTGCTTGTTGTTTGTTTATTGCTTGTTGTTTGTTTATTGCTTGTTGTTTGTTTATTGCTTGTTGCTTGTTTATTTCTTGTTGTTTATTGCTACTGTTATTACTTTTATTACTATAAAATATATATTTGCTGACAGTTGTGTTGATTACTGCTATCATTATTAGGCAAAAAGTACTATCAAATTGACAATATATAAATATTAATTTTTAAATCGTTTTTCTGTCCAAAAATTCAATTTTTAATTTGAATTATTATATAAATTTATTGCTAAATTTGGAAATATGATTTAATCTAAATACACTGTGTAGAGAAAAGTTCTTGATGACTGTATATGCTGAAATGCTAACAATAAAAGAGCAACACTGTTTGTCAAAAGCCGAAGATGACAGCTCAAGTTTGTCCACTGAATGCATAATACATATTGCAAAAATTTAGTTTTATTAAATTAGGAACTGTAAGTGTTAAATATCTTTCGAATGATACGGAAAAATAATTGTATTCTCATTCGCTGACTTTGCTTTCATTTTTAAAAAAAAAAAATAACCAAAAATAAAGAGATCAACGAGAAAATTTTCAAAAATTCTTGAAATCTTTATAAATCCTAAATTTGCCGAATATTTCTTCATTTTTGCAATGATTTCACCTTTTCTTTCTATGGTGGAACAATTATGGTAATCTATCGGTGGGATTCTATCCAAAATTTTCATATGAACGACTTTCCGGGAGTGAAATTTTATGTGCTCCCATAAATGGTTATCGGTTAATGAAGCGTGAAAAAGATAATTAGAGAAGTAAAATTTGCTAATTGATAAATGCAATTGTCTTCCAAAATCTCTCCTTGCGCATTAGAAGTATTTCCAATATTTATCCATATGGTTTAAAAATTTCAGATACTGAATTAGGTTTTGGAATTTTTTTGCTCCTATTATTATTAATTTTATGTTTAAATTATATTTTACTAAGTGTAACAATCAATTTCAAAACTAACTTTATTTCTTCCTCGAATTATTCCAAAGTATTCTGGAAGAATGAAGGAAAAGAGAGTGATTAAGGTCAGTAAGATGGAAAGGAAATAAATTTTCCTAACAACATGCCGCCAAGATTTTGCTTTATTTTATTCGTTTTCCAATAGCAAACCGTAATTCTCGAATCGTTTTCAGCATATTTGTTTTTTAAATTCTCAAATTCTTAAATGGTAGAATTTCGTCACGAAGATAACCTGTTAATTATGATGCAAAATGTTTGAATTCGATTTGACTTATCCCTCATAAAATGTCCAACTGAAATATCAGACCGTGTTATATCAACTTTATGTGAAACTTTGTCAAAATTCTTTTTCTTGTCAATTTGTAAATTAGAACTTAATAACATTGATACAGTAATTGTTATTAATGAAACTAGAAATAATAATAGCAATAATAATGATAATAAATATAATAACGAT